GGATATTCGCCAAGGTGGAGATTTGTTATGGTATGGCTCATATACCATATAGGGACAGATGCTGGAACGAATCGGAGCGGAGCGGAGCGAAAGAATCTGTCCAAATTGGGAAGTTACGTTATATGGGTTGAGGCTATACGGTATAGGGGTAATTTGGGAATTATATATTGTACTGCAGGGCTTACTCTAGAATTATAAATAGACCTGTTTGTAATCCTAGGTCTTGGAGAGAGCTGAATCCCTGAATTCTGTAAATCTTCTTCTGATTATTGAAAAGGAAGTCGCCGCTCTGCTCCCGAGGATGTAGGCATCTTTGTCGAACCTCATTAAATCTCTGTATGTTCTTCTGGAATTGTGTCGTTCTTGTTTTTCTTTGCACTAATTTCTCAACAGGAATCAAATGATGAAGAAGATGAAGTGTCGGAAGAAAAACCGATGCCGATGTGAGTGGTCGTTGGTGGAGTTTGAACTTTATCGATGACAGTTACTGCCATTAAAGCTCCGATGGGAACAGAGAGGATCGAAAGTTAGAGGTGGGAAGGGGTTTATGTTGGTCGGGAAGCCAGCGGAGAAGGGTGGCTTCAAGATGGAGGGCGGGAGCAGAGGCGGAGGGAGCCGGATGGCTGAAGTAACGGCGTCATAATAGTAATCTTTATTCTTAATTTTAATCTATGGAATCCTTTATACCTAAATAACATTATTTAAGAGCATTTATATGTAAAAACCTCTTAATTCATTTATATTTAATTTTGTCCATACATAATAATTTATTTTTATTTAATTTAGTTGAATCCAAATTTATCCGGTAGACCGTACCCAATGAATAAAGCGTGCAAAAAAGAGATAGAAAGAGCGAGAGAAGAAAGATGAGAGGAGAACTTCCCCTGGCAGGGGAAATGGAGTGTTCCCGGGCTCGTTGACTAATTTTATCCCATAAAATATGAGGTTACAAAATGATGGGTCCCTTTTACATCATGAACCCTCCTATTTATAGAAGATGTGAGGAGTAAAAGATATGCAAAAATTACATATTTTGTTATGCTTTGAAGAGAGGAGTAGAAGAGATTTTTGTCTTTTTTATTCTGACCGTTGGATCATCTCGAGTTCAATGTAGGCTTTCAAGACCATGTTTCTTTGTCTTGATCCTGATAACATTCAATAAATAAGAAATTAAGTGGTTTATATGTGAATTTCTTGAAGATGATAGTTGTTTTAGCATTGTTATCCGGCTGGCCAAAGAAAAGAGTTGATCAGCCGACTGAAATGAGGTGGCCGAGAGAGAGAGTTTGGTCGGTCTACTGAAGTGAGGTGACTGACTACTGGATTGCCTCAAGATTTTTTTGCTATACCTATTAAGCTCCCTAATTTTTAGTTATACATATTAAGCTCCCTAATTTTTTTGTTTCTTGATAGTGACAATTACGATAAGAAAAAAAAAATTTATAAATCAAACAATCCTATAATATGTAATTTGTTAATGGTACTCCCTGCTAGGCGCTTTTCGTGCTCAGTTCTGGCATTTTCATCATCATTTATGGGTGTCTCAGAGTTGCTCACCTCGGAGTAGAGTCTTAGAGTTACTTGCCCTAGAGGGGAGTCTTGTAGTTGCTTGCCCCGGAGGGGAGTCTTGTAGTTGCTCGCTCTAGAGAGAAGTCTTAAGGTTGCTCGCCTCGGAGAGGAGTCTTAAAGTTGCTCGCTCCGAAAAAGAGTCTTAAAAGTCTTAAAGTCACTCGCCCCTGAGGAGATTCTTCTAGTTGCTCGCTCCGGAGGGGAGTCTTAAGGTTGCTCGCCCTAGAGGGAAGTATTGTAGTTGCTCACCCAGGAGGGGAGTCTTATAGTTATTCGTCTCCAAGAGGAGTCTTAAGGTTACTCACCCCGGAAGGGGGTCTTAGAGTTACTCGTCTCAGAGGGGAGTCTCGTAGTTGCTCGCCCCATAGAGAGACTTAGAGTTGCTCGTCTCAGAGAGGAGGCTTGTAGTTCTGCATTTGATCGGACGCTCTTAATTTCATTGTCGATCTTTTTGTTATTTCTTTGACTGATCGGACGCACTTGGTATCGTTTTCGATTGTTTTGCTATACTTTGTCATGTCTTTGACCAAACGGAGACTCATGACATCGTTGCCGGTTGTTTTGTTATGCCTTTGACCAATCAGGCGCTCTTGGCATCGTTGTCAATTGTTTCTCATG